TTCAGAATTCAGTTCTTTAGTTGGGTCAATTACATACGATCTCTAGAACTAATCAGTGAAAAGCTCCACATCATTGTGTGTGTGTGTGTGTGTGTGTGTGTGTGTGCTGAGGTAGGACTGGCTCCTGTTTTCAGTCCATCCTCACAAAATGTCTTCCTACAAGATTAATAAATTCCTCCAATTAAAAAGGTTAAGATACCTGGACATAAGGTTTTCTCAACTGATATCATTTGTTTCCATAGTGACATTGTTAAGAAGACAGAGTGCTATTTCTGAAGACTTGCAATCCTGGAGAACACAGAGAGGGAAACAGCAGAAGGAGGGAAACAAAGGAACTAGGAAGGCCTGACACACAAATGGGGCAGCCTGAAGAGACAGGTAGAACCCGAAGAAACTGCCAGTCTGAAAGGGTTCCTCTGAGATCTGGAAGGAACATAGTCTATTCTTTCAGGCAAAAAAACACCTCAAGCCAGACAATAAAGTCTTGCAACGCATCAGAATGAAGATAACCAAGCCCCAGAACTCAAAAGAGAAAAGGAAAAGAAAAGCGAGAAAGAAAGAAATTCTCAGGACCATCAACCAGCCGCATACTGAGGGAATAACATTTCCTGGAGACATTCAGGGGACTTGGAGCTGCTGGAAGTTGGGAGAAGATCTCAGTGGAAATGTTTTAGGTTTTGCCTTGCCTTTCCTGAGGGAGATCAAAAACCCTTCAGGTCCACTCCAAAGGAGAAAAAAAAAATCCAAAAGTTTACTTTAAAATGGAAACAAACATCTCAGTAACTTGTGAAAGCTCCTTGGGTAGGAGAAAAATCCGAGGAACCCTTAAAAGCCCTCATTTCCTTGCTTAATGAATAGATAGTGAGGAACCACCACAAGGAGAGGGAGAAGGAATAGGCAGGCATGCCTCTTCTTCCAGCCCTCACCATCAGAGCTTCAAAATGGAGACATCCATAATTTTATAAACACTTCTAACCCCAGCTTTGTCTCCTGGAAGCCCGCTCTCCTCCATTTTCTGGTGGAGTTACAACATGACAAGGCTTAAGGCTTTACCTGACTCAGTTCCCAGCTCTCAACCCAACTAGTCATTTCCTCCCCAAACCTGCAAGCAACCTCCAGAAACAAAACCAAACCAAGCCAAACAGCCAACACAGACACTCATTCACAACCCCCGGGAGCCCTGGAGAAAACCCCAACTGGTTGATCTTTTCCCATCCCAGGCGCGTGCTTAAAAATGAAACTTTTTTTTTCTTTTCTTTTTTTCTCTCTCTCTCTCTTTTAAGGTTAGGGAGGAATATAAAAGGAACTCCAGGCAACCTCCTCCCTTCCCTCTCTGTAGGTTAGGAGCCACAATGAAAAGAAAACCAGGGTTCCTTCAGGAATGGTGAACAGCCTGGAGAATGAACGTGAGAAGGAGCTTTGTGTTTTGGAGTCTGGACTGGAACCAAAGCAGACAGCTTGCAAATGGAGGACAGGGAGATAAAGAAAGGGAAAGAGAGGGGCTGCTCCAATGGGGGGCGGCTGCGGCTTCCCCTCCCCGTGCCTGGAGGGAGGGCAGACCCCTGGGAACCGCACCAGGAGTGAGACGCCCCCCCTCCAGGCCCCTGCTTTCCTTTCTCCTAGCCTCAGAGGAGAGCCAAGCGTGTGTAATGGCTTCTCCTCTCCAGAAACCGTTGTCCTCCTCCAACCAGACGCTTCTGAACCTTCAGCCTGGAGACAGCTCCTCAGCTGTCCCTCAACCTGCGCCCCCACCCGGCCCGCAGCCCCCCGCTCGTCGCCTCTCTCCTCCCCAGCAGCGGCGGCGGCAGCCACCCCCTCGACACATCCCGACCCCGCATCCCAACTTCGGAGAGAGAGGAGAGAGAGAGAGAGAGAGGAGAGCCAAATACCTGAGGAAGAGGGGGGTGCCAATCCGCACGGCTTTGCCATCGGGCGGGGGACAGTCAGACAGAGGAGGGGAAAGGAAGCAGAGGGACAGAGAAAGAAAGAGGTCAACCCGCTCAGGTCGGGGCCGCTCGCTCCGAGCGCTCCCTCCTCTGACCCCTCGCTCGCTCCCTCTGGCTCGGGCTAAGGTCTCTCCTGGCCTTCAGCCCTCCGCCCCCCTTCTCTGTCCCTACTCCTGTCCCCACACTCAGAGCATCAGTCCTAAGCCTCCAGCTCTCGCCTCTCACTCATCTCATTTTTTCCTCTCTCTCTTCTCTTCTCTTCACAGAACTACACGAAATTAATTAAGCCACAGGACTCGCCCCCCCCCCCCAGCAGAAGGCAGAAGGAGCAGCCAGCAGGAAAAGCACAGCCACCTCCACAGCTACCACCACCTTCTCCTCTTCCTCCTCCTCTTCCTCCCTAGCTTCTTCTCCTCCTCTTCCTCCTCCCCCTGCTGCTCTCCCTCCTCCTCCCCCTCCTCCTCCTCCTCCTTCTCCTCCTCCTCCTCCTCCTCCTCCTCGGTCTTTCCTCTCTTTAGCTTCTTCTCTCTCCTCATAGCCAGTCCATGCAGGGGACTTCCTCTCCTCCCCGCGCCGCCAGCCCTCCTTGGCCGAATGAATGAGCGCGTTTGTGCCTTTACCGCCCCGCGCTCTCCTCCCCGAGCACTCAGACCACCCCGGAGGTGGTGGTTAATTGCAGTAACTTACAGAAGAAGCGTCCCGGCGCCGGGAGGTGCTTCGGGTTCTCCAGCCCCACCGCCTCCTTATCCTCTTTCTCTTTCTCCTCTTCCTGCTCGGGTTATTGTTGTGGAAGTTGTTTGGGAGTCTCATGTGCTTCTGCCGGGTCTCAGCAATGGAGGATCGCCATCTTCCCTGCCTTCCTCGGCTCCTCAGACTCGCTGCAGCTGCAGATGACCTGAGATATCCGTCTCTCTCCCCTCTCCCTCCCTCCCTCTCTCTCTCTCTCTCTCTCTNCTCTCTCTCTCTCTCTCTCTCTCTCTCTCTCTCTCTCTCTCTCTCTCTCTCTCTCTCTCCTCTTCTCTCTCCTCTCCTCCCTCTCCCTCGCGCGCGCTCTCTCTCTCTCTCCCTCCCTCTGTGTCTCTCTCTGAATAATGAGCAACCAGAGGGAGAGAGAAAGCAAGACAGAAAGAGAGAAGACAATCTTCTCCTGCCACACAAAACGCCGGAGCACCAGGGGGTGCGCGAAGCCTTTCTAATAACAACAACGTGCAGGAGAGAGGAAGGAAAAGAAAGAAAGAAATGAGAAAAGGGCTGGGGGAAAATAGGAAGAATTATCCAAGAGCTGGAGAAGCGCAGGAGAAGCTGGAGGAGATGCTAAAGCTGCGGCTGCTGCCTGCCCCCCTCCCGCGCTGAACCCCAGAAGGAGGCAAGGTGGTTGCAAAGTTAAGGCTGGGACATTGTCTTTGTCACTCTGAACAACACAGAGCCAGGCCAGGCCAGTGAGATGCAAGAGGAGGAGGTGGCGGTGGAGGAGGAGGAGGTGGTGGTGGAGGAGGAGGAGGAAGAGGAGGAGAAGGAGGCAAAGGAGGAGGAGAAGGGGAAGAGAGATGAGATGAATAAAGACCTGCGGAAAAGGCGGCGCGAGGAGCGCGACCGCCGGCCCCAGGCGTGCGCGCTCGCGTCCCAGAGGCGCCCGACCTCCCTGGCCAGAGGAGCAAGCCCCCACTGAGAACCCTGTTCGGCTCGCACCATCAGCCCTGCCCCAGGCACCCAGCCCCGGTTCCAGAGGGTCTCTCAAATGTATCCATCTAGAGGCCAATCTTTGCAAGGAACAGAGATGAAGAACTGAAGGTTGCAAGTCTAAACCCACATCAGCCACGTGGGGCTTTTTAATTCCTCTCCAGCTTGCAGTGTATCTCCAGTGAAGGGCTCAAGTTGTCCATTACTGGCACGTATTTCTTTTTTAAGTCTTCACTCTCTAAATAAAGGTTCATTGTGCGTTTTATGTCTCTTCTGATAGGGAAAGGAGGAGAAGGAACCCATCATTCTGATCTAGAAGCCACCACTTTCTTTTCCGAACTTGTGAAATGTTTTGACGGCGCACCAGAAAGGGGGGGGGGGTGTCGTACTTAAATAACTTTCCACCCTCGCACCCCGCGTTGTTTGCACTTTCCGGCTGATCATCTTAAAGGCTTGGAAAGTAACAATCATCGCTCCTAATGATAAGGTGTCATGGTGTTGAAGACAAGAGAGCCGAGCTCCTGCATCACACCTTGAATTTTATTTAGTGTAATACCCCCCCCCATCGTTCTGAACTATCTCTTTCTCAAAGAAGTGGATTTCCACCCCCTCTCTCACCAGGTCAAAGATTTCCTAAGGCTTTAATTTGATTTAAGACGGGTGATGGGGAGGGAGGGGGTACAGTACAAAAAAGAAAAAAAATCAATGCAGCAAGTCAGGAGCAATTGAAGTTCAAGGGCATGGGCTGGTGGTACCATTTCTATTTCTCAGATCCTCTAGCTGGACATCAACAGCCCCAGGAGAGAAAAGCGGCGCGCGGGGCAGAGACCTTAATTAAAGTTTCTTTTGTCCGTCCCTGAATTAGAGGTTGTTGCTGGATTCCTTCGCATTGAGGAGCGCGCATCCGGTGAAGGCGCGGTGTAGAGGATCCTGGGCGAGACTGTCCTCTTTAATACTCACCCCCTCCCCCCTCCCCCCACAGTCGGGGCAGCTAGACCGGTAAACCCATACAATAAAAGCAAAGGAGACGCGCAAACGGAGTTGGTTCCCATCGGATAGCGGCGTTTCCTAAGCACATCTAAAATCCTCATTTCCCAAGATTTTCCCGATTGTGTATTCCAGGGCAGAATGTCTCACCCTGACGCACGCTCTAACCCCCTTCCAGTCAACACTTCCTGCCCTTTTCTCCTCCCACTCACATTGAAAAGCTCGGGAGCCCTAAAAGGGTGTTGATGGCTGGGGGTGATAAATAAATAAATAAATGACACTACGCGTGCGGGGGCGAAGAAAGGAGGGGGAGGAAGAGAAGGGGGGTGGGTCAGGGAGAGGAAAGCGAGGAGAAAGGACTCTGGCGAAAGGGAGCCGGGAGTCAAAGAAAGCAGAGGAAGAAAGGGTAGGAAGATCTCTGAGGCTGCTCCGCAGCAAAACCCTCCTGGCTTTGTGCAAAGGGAGAAGACTCCCTTCCTTCCAGGTGCCAAAGGGACCTGAGCAAATCAATCTGTCCGGAGCTCCTCCCTACCGGGACCCCAAGGGTGTCTGAGTGCTGACCGCCGCTCCCCATCAATTCCTCGTGGCCACGAGAGGAAGCGCGCCAGGTCTGCGCCGTCCTGACTGATAATTTACCTCTTTGTCTTTAATAAAAGGCTGACTTTTTTTTTCTGTCAAAAGCTCTGCACCGAGCAAAATAATAATAATAACGATAATAATCGCAATCGTATTTCAGATTGAAAGCTCCTATCAACTGCTGGCATTCCAAGGCTGCGATAAATATCTTCGACGTGAAGGTACCTTGTGGGCTGGCGTGGTTCGGAAGTGCGGGGATGGGGACCGCCCCCACCCCCCTAAGGCGCGGGGACGCAGCAGCTGGGAGGGAGGAAGGAGCGGAGGTCAGAGGAAACCTGGGGTTTCCAGGGCTTTCGCGGTCGGGGGAATGAGCCCTGGGGAGGAGCCTTGCGCCAGCGCCAGCGCGCCCCAACACGCCTTCGACCTCATAAACCCACTTGGCAAAGGCCGGGGAAGCCGCTGGCGGAGCGGCTGCGGTGAACTCCAAAAATGAACCTGCGGCGCGACGCCACGGGCTGCCACCCTGGCCAACACTCACCTCGAGCGACCGACATTGAGAGAGCTCCCGACGCGGCCGCGGGGGGACCTTGCTCCGCCCTCCCGTCCCAGGAGAAGAGGACAAAAAAGGGGGGGGGGAGATGGACTTGGAGATGGCCCCGCCCTTCAAACGCTCCAATCCTTGGAAACCAAACCTCCTCTCCAAGCTTCCACGTCTAGAAGGGACAAAGACTGCCAGGAGATCCTGGCGCTGATGGGGAGGTGATGACTCCTCGCGCTTCTGGGGTGGGTGCTTTTGGGGAGTGAATATCATGGCTAAGTTTCCATCCCAAATAGGTCACCGAGGGATGATCTCTGGAGGACAAACTGAGTCTTTTGGTACAGAAGCAAGCTGAGTTTTCAAAGCTCTGAAGCAAGCAAACAATTGCAAAACTCCGGCATAGCCCTGCTGTGTTGAAAGTGGAAGACTAAAATTTCTGTTCATGATGCCACAGTCCTCTTTTTTTTTTCTTTCTACTTTTAGAAGTCCCAAGTTCCCTAACTCCCCAACTAAAATAAATGAAAGACATTAAACCTAAGGAGAGTGGGGAGGTTTTCGTGTTGTTGTTGGTGGTGTTTCCCTTTGCGAGGGAGATTTTCTCAAATGACAGAAAAACAGTTGGGTATTGAAGGTGGGACAGCGAAGGGAAGCTGTGCCTGGAAGTTTTGGTGAATACACTGGGTCCTAAAGTAACTGCAATGATGTTTTGCCATTAGCAGATAATTTAGATAAGCAGGAGAAAGTTCACACCTTCTGCTATTTCATTCCCTCACAAATTTGCCCAAAGATAATGCAAGCCTGGATTATCTTCTCCATCAGGAGACTGATGCTTGACAACTTCCTTTTCTTTCTTCTCTTTTCTTCCTTCCTTCCTTCCTTCCTTCCTTCCTTCCTTCCTTCCTTCCTTCCTTCCTTCCTTCCTTCCTTCCTTCCTAGGGAAAGCTTCGATTTTACACACAAGCAACAATGGGAAGGAAGTCTATGACATACACATCGAGTTCCTGAAATTTATTATTTGATGCTGTACCTTATATCCTTATCCCCCGGAGTCAGATGGGATTTCAAGATTTTATTAATGGCCTAGAGAATAAGAATATGTCAAAAGTCTGGACTTATCTTCTCCTCCATCATGAGTGACTGGAACACAGACTCTTCATAAAGAGAAATTATGGCTCATCAAAAGAGTGACTTTATGAACATTATTAGAATCATAAATCTTGCCATTTTAGTTCAAGAAGCGGCACTCCTGTAGCCAGAGTGATCCATGCAACTAGGACTCACATAGATACTTGCCTGACACTAGGAGGGTGGATAGTCTATAGACCATTCTGCCTACTAAAGCCTTGAAAAAGGAAAACACCGAATTCTCTTGAAGAAAAATATTGATTGAGGGAACGGGAGTTTCTATTAATCCTACAGGAGAGTCTGAAAGAAAAAAAACCCAACTGGGCCACAGGTTATATTAAAAAGTTAAAGGCCAGCCTGGTCCACAGAGCTAGTTCCAGGATAGGCTCCAAAGCAACAGAGAAACCCTGTCTCTNAGAAATAATTGTTTGTAGAAATAATTGTCTAATCTCATCACTCGAATATTGACATTTTATTGTATGTGTATATAAATATATATGTACATATATATAGCATCCTTGTTTTTCAGAATGCTAAAGTGAAAAGAGAAAAAAAATTCCAGTTGCTATCTTTACTCTCTACATTGCAACTGGAAAATTGTTCAAGATGATTTTAGCATAACAGAGAGCGTATGAATAAAGACCATGGCTTTTCAAACGTCATAATAACTCCATCCTCAAACAGTAACCATTTGTTGCTCAGCCCTTAACTCACTGGCCCTTCCATCTATGTCAAAACTATGAGCTGAGTTGATGATTCCCAACAAACTATTTTTAATACCTAAGATCTTTACTCTCGTTGTTTTGGAGACACACTGAATCTTCCAAACGGTGTTCTGAAAGCAAAATGAACAACTACAAATCTTCTAAATATTGAGACAATGAAGTAGCTAGCGCACCTTTTGTTATAATAGAAAAGGGTATATTTTCATAACCCAGATTCAAAACATGTACCTGGTTAACTGACGTCCATATCTAGGGACTTAAAGAAGACAAACATATGTGATCCTTTAGTTTGAACAGATCTCAGTGGAAGAGGAATTGTAATAAGTTATATTAAACTTACTCTCCATGAATCTTTGTATATATACCTTTAGATACCCAAGAAGATGTTTCAATAGTAATATTCTCAAACGTATAAGGAAGTCTTTCTCACATAGGTAGAAGTTAAATTTGCATTTCCATCAAACTTGTTACTATAATATGAAACACCTGCACTATCATTCAACCATTGAATATTTGCTTAGTGTCTGCGATGCATCATAATGGAAGCTGAACACTAGGATACAAAGATAAATGAGAGAAGATGAGTCAAAATGTTGATACATGATGTACTTCCTGAACTGACTGCGGAATTACATTTCTTGGTCATAGGAATCTTCATCTTTTTTTTCTTTTTAACATACACAAAAGCAGGATAGGAATTTGGCCAATAAGGAGGATCTGCTTGGTTTAAAATTTTCTACTCCTGCAGCAAAGTCATTTGGGAATAATATTTTTGTTAAAATAATTTTCTTGGAGTTCATTTTAAAGACTGTAGAATCAACAACATGAAATTCTTACTTAGATCTTTCTGAAAAGAAAGCAGTTGGGAGGTGCAGCTCTGTGGGGGAGCCAGTGCCTAGCATGTACGAGGTACTGGGTTTAATCTCCAACATTGGAAACAAAAATAAAAAAAAAAAAGGAAAGAGGAGGATTTAATATCAGTTACTCTTAGGTTAACCAAAATTCTGAAGAAAAGAATCAACTGAAGAAAATGCCCATTTGTAGAGGCTCATGTTCTCACAGAAAGACCAGCATTTCCACGGTTCTACCATTTGGACTCAAACTGAAGTCTAGAGAGGGGAAGTAACTTGGTTAGAACATAGAATTAACTGGTCAGGGACACCCAGACTTAGAATCTCTGCAGCCGTGGTTTAACATGATTCTCATACTACCTCCGAGATTTTTAAATATTTTGACATATTTTCATGCTACTTAAAAAATAATTTAAGGGGCTGGAGAAACGGCTCAGGGGTTAGGAACGTGGGCTGCTCTTCCACAGGACCCAGGTTCAAGTCCCAGCACCCACATGACAGCTCCCACTGTCTGTAACTCCAGTTCTGGGAGATCTGATACCTTCACACCAATGCACATATAATAAAGTTAAATAATTATAAAAAATATAATCAATATTTCAAACATTAAAATTCATGTGCTAGGGGCTGTGGATCAATGTTAAAGTACAAAGTAAAGGGTATTCATTATAAGCAACAATACCTATGAGATCCCAGGTCTCATCTACTGCGTGTGTACACCACTTTCATTGCAGCCTGAAATAGTTACATATATTGATATGTTGAAAATATTTTAAGATTTTGGGGCCATTTCATAGATTCAAAAATAGCTTAAGAAAAAAGGTTATGGGATCTGATAGTACCTATTGTACAAGCAAATTATATTCTTGGTAAGAATTTTAAAATACCACATGGTTTTTTTTTGTTTGTTTGTTTTGTTTTTGACAAGGTCTCACTATAAAGCCCAAGCTAGCATCAAACCTGCAACTAAGCTGGCCTAATTAGCGGTGATTCCCCTGCCTCTCCTTTCAAGTGTGCTGTGCTTTCAGATGGGGACCACCACACCCAGCCAATTCGTGAGTTAACAGTATACACTTAAAGCCTCAAAATGCTCACACCTTTGTTTCTCTAGTTCCTCCTCTTAGATTCTACCCTGAGCAAACTGCCAGAAAATAATTATGTAAGAATTGACAAAGGGGGCCAGGCAGTGGTGGCGCACGCCTTTAAGCCCAGCCCTCTGGAGGCAGAGGCAGACAGATCTCTGTGAGGTTGAGGCCAGCCTGGTTTACAGAGTGAGTTCTAGATGCATTGCATACATGTAAGACATCATCGATGAATAAATAAAGGGTTTTCGTTTTGTTTTGTCGTGTTTTTTTTTGTTTGTTTGTTTTTAGGTTTCAGTTTTGGAAACAGGATTTCTTTTTGTAGCCTCAATTGTTGTGGAACTAGCTATGCAGACAAGGCTGGCCTAGAACTCACAGTGATCTGCCTCCCTCTGTCTCTCTAGTATGGGATTTAAGGTGTGCATCACCACCTCCTAGCATAAAAAGTATTCTAAATGAGAAATAAAGACTGTTTGGTAAATAATGCTTCCCCATTATTATAAACTTCAAATTGTTTATAAGAATTTTATAATTAAAGAGAAAAATAGCTTGTTGTTAGTTAGAAAAACCTGTGTGATGTGGGATTTTACTTTCTGTGCTGTGAATACCATTGGTTAACAAAGAAGCTGTTTGGGGTCTATTGCAGTACAGAATAGGGCAGGGCAGAAATTCCAAGCAGATAGGTGTAACAAGAGAGTAGGCGGAGTCAGAGAGAAGCCATGTAACCCCTGGAAGAGACAGACACAGGAACTTTGCCTGGTAAACCACAGTCACATGGCGATACACAGATTAATAGAAAAAGGTTAATTTAAGATATAAGAACTAAATAGAAAGACGTTTAAGTTATTAGCAAATGGTATTAAAATAATATAGTTTCTGTATGATTATTTCGGGTCTGGGCAGCTGGGAACAAATGAGCAGTCTCGGCAACAACTGTGTACATATTGTGATCTTGTTCTTTTTTTTTTTTTTTTAAACATACCCCAAAGATTACCTTGAAAGGAAACAAACTATTGTGTTCATAAATTCACTAAACATTAAAAAAAAAAGTTTAGGAAATGTAGAACTTATATACAAGCTATATAAATTTGATAGTTTTATCATGATTCATAAGCCCCATATGCTATAGTGTCCAGTGATTTATTTGAACTGAATCATATATAATCTTTTTAGGTATTTAAAAATGTTCTCATATTCAATGTCAGCTCACATCTGTAATCACAGGCATGCTTCAAACACAGTATTAATATGGATAATAAGACAACAATTCAGTAAATGGTTATTACATAGATATTTTTTTGATTCTCATAGGGAAAATAGGACAAAGTTTCAGGTGAGTATTTTTTAACTTATTTCATATAAGAAAAAGAAATTTCAGACAAAAGAGATTAAATGTCTTACAGTAAAATGTGCTTCAGTTTTAATGGTGGCGAAGACTAAAATCCACTGCTGGGTGTGACGGTACTACCTGGAATCCTAGTAGTTTGGAGGGCAGGGAGGAACCGGAGTTTCAGATCATTCTTGCTATGTGGGGAATTCAAGTTCAGCCTGAGCTACAGGTGACCATGTTTCCCCCACCACCCCCCAAAAGAAAAAGAATCAAGATTGTAGCTCAAGTGGTAAGGTGGGGGCCTACTATGCATAAAGCCTTGAGTTTATCCCCAAGACTGCATAGACAGGGCAGGATGGATGCCTGTAATCCAGCGCTTGTGT